CAAAGCACGCTGATCTCATCATAGCATGGAAAATGCTGTTTAATTTTGCTCCCTGGAACACATCCATAACTGCACTGGCACTTTTAACACCCTACCTTTGGAATATTTGATTTTTTGGAAGAGTCATGTTCTTTCATTTCCTGAGAATTCTCTTCCTAAGGGGCTTTTCCATTTTCAGTGTTATAGAATATTAAGAAACGCCTCCGTGGGTCAGGAGCACGTGCTGTTCGGACCCACCACATCACCCTTTTATTATTTTGGCCAATAGAGTGACTACTAGAAGACCGGTACCTGGAGAAGCATACAAAACATGCTCGCTGTAGGGCCTGCTCTTCTCCTTCTAGTAACGAAATTTGAGCCTGTGGAATAACGGATTTGATTCCCGCTATGACAGGGAACTCGTGCTTCTCAGTTACAGAGCTTTCTGGGTTTTGAGTAAATGTTAGAAAAGCAAAAGACTCTCCCAGTCGTCAGGGAAGCTCCCCATGCCAATCTTCACGCTTTTGGCCCACAGCGTGGAGGCACTGCATCTTCTCACTTAAATGAACGTCAGCTTCTACAAAATACAAGCAAAGTGCACTCCACAACCCCCAATGTAATGCTTAAAGAAAGCTTTGCTCATTAGCAACTGCCAAAATAATTGAGTTACCTAATCATAACTCTATTTTTGACACCATAGTGTTTCCTAGTCGACAAGGCAGTGCCACCTGGCCCTGCCAGATCAAAACTGGTGGCCTGTAAGTCCTGTAGTCACGTCGAATAACAGAGAGGGCCTTTGGAAGTCTTCGTGATGCTGCATGGACGCTAGCGCAGGACTGATTCCAGGCTTTCAGCCTACACAGTTTGTAATGACTTACACTCTCACTGCTTCTCAGGGAGAGACTGTCCCACACCCTCAAAGACCTCTTGCTGGGTGGAAAATGGCTTTTCCTTTCCTTCTGCCTCAGATTTTCCATTAACGAATTTTTATCCCGACTTCTACACCCACTCAGCTAGTTTGAACTCTTCTTCTGTGTTTTTATGACCTGCCAGCGCTTGTAGACATTTGCCGCCTCCCCCTTGTCTAGTGGCCAGATTATGTGCACTGACTCTGTCCGCATAAACGTACCCCTTCAGTGCCTTAATCTCTTTTGAGGGAATTTTTTTTCTTCTTTGAATTCTTTCCCATCCTTCCGTCCTCTTTACCCTCCCTGCACTCGGCTTGGAAGTTCATTTCTCGCGAGCATTCCGGACGCCTCAGGCCAGATAGGAAAGTGCAGCAGGATGGTGTGGAGGGGAGGGGGGAGCGAGCAAGCCTCACGTGTCGGGGACAGCGCTCAACGCCAACCACGCGTGGATGCAAAAGTTGTGTATTACTAGCAGTAGTAAGAAAGGTGCTTCACCTTCACCTCTGGTGCTATGCTAGTCATCATTTTAGACACTGATAACTTTCCTCACTAGAGAAATAAAATGGCTCTGGGTCAACAGATGAGAAGAAGTAGCCAAAAAGTAATTTTCCAGAAATGTTTAGTATTTCCTTGTAGAATGGATGCAGTCAGCGGCTGTAATGACACAAGGAAAGGAATTAGCATTTTGTCTTTGTAAACTCCAGGCACTGCTCTATTAAAACAGTATCTTCATTCCTCATGACTGCAGGACGTTGCTTCCAGCACGTAGAAGATCCGTGTATGACATTTAATTTTCATATGTCTTCAGTGGCAATATCTACCTTCTGTCTTGTAGCCCAAGTCACTAGGTCCTGCTCTCTTCAAGCTCTCGCACCAGACTGCAGAGGTACTGGTTTGCATGGGTTCAGTCTCCCTTTCCCAGACTGTCCGTGTGTGTTAGTGCCTTCTGGCCTCAAAGAGGAAGGCTGCTGATTATTTACAGCTTCATAAATATCTACTTGCGGAGTGCATTGCTTGAGGAAGGATGGTAAAATGTGACTTTTCCCTTTTGAACTTGTTAGAAAGCAGCGCAGCCTGCGCTCCTCTGCGGCAGCTGCTGCTTCCAGCAGGACAGCGTCCGAGCAAGAGCAGGTGCTCCGGGAGTGACACCTGGCAAGAAACACGCACATGGAAACCTGGATTCTATGGTCCAGCTACAACATGGGCACCTGCAGGTGAAGGTACCAAGAAAACAACCGTTCAGGAGCCGGAGGCTATTTAGAAGAGTCAAAATTAACTCACATTTTAGACATACTTAGGAAAATGCTGATCTGAAAGTAACCTAAGAGCACTTTAAACCAAATGCAGCGCCAGTCCTTGAAGCGCTCGAGGAGCCTGTCGTGAATTAGTGTGCTTAAAAACACAAACAAAACCATCATTACAGAGAAAAATAAATCAGCTTGAACTCTGCTTGTTCCAGAACTGTAAACAAAGCTGGTTTTTTGTTTTGTTTTTTTTTTTTTTTTTAAATTGTGCAGTTGTTTATTGTTTTTAGTATTGACTTGAGAAAAGGTCCTCTGAGAGCCAACCCAATGACAGTCCCTTGTCAGAAAGGTTCTCTAGAAGACTCTTCACTGGGTGAGAACGAGTACCACGGCAGCAAGAGCTCTGATTTTGCCCGACGTGAAGCGGCATCCCTCGCTGCTCCCTGGGGACCACAGCGGGACGCGAGGGTCATCAAGACTTGGGGATGCTCTGGTGGAGGAAGAACATGGCGACGCTGGTACGTGAAAGGCCAGCAGGCCTCCTCCCAGCTACTGTCAGACAAGCCTCACAAATCTAAATCCTCTTTCGGATGCCCAAATTATATTTCTGTTGGCTAAGACTTTAAAAACTCTTTTTTTTAAAGTTGCTTGAATTAACAGCTGTCTTTGGCTTCGTTTTTCACCTGCGTCAGTTGTTTGTCTGTCCTCCTGGCCTTCTCTTTGGCTTCATTTCGCTGCCGCCTGTGCTTTAGCTTTCCCCCATTACTTTCACACTTGCCTTTATTAAAGAGAACCTATGACTCCACAACTTGCCATGCCCTCCTTCTCCAGGAGGGAAAGCAGTGAATTATTTTTCAGCATTGCCTATCAAGCAGGAGTTGGCTTTCCTCCCTGCTAAATTAAAGAGCACCTTTCCACAAGACAGCAGCAAACCAGAGGTTTCTTCTTACTTGTAAGTGTACAAAGCTACTGACCAGGGAGTATTTCTGTCCGGCTGTCTGCCACCATGAAGGCTTGTCCTCCAAAAATTTTGAAATTGTTTTTGGTACCTGCCTTTAACAATGCTAAAAATATTGGCCTGGGAGAGGGCAGGGGTGGCGATGCAGTTGGTAGCAGTATGTAAAGAATCGGCGGTAAGAAAAATGCCTCTTCCTCTGGGCACAAGAGTGGAAGGAAGAATGCAGATTAAAATAAAAATCGCTATGCTTCTCCAATTTTAAACATTTAATAGTGCACTTATTGAGTATATTCTGTACAGACTTCTATAGCAAGTTAAACATTTTCCTTTCTCTCATGTAGATCATAGTCAGGGAAAGCACATTTACAATAGAAAACATACTTGAGGTACAAAAACCCAAAAAGCGTATCTGAGGTATAAATACAGGTATATTTTAAATAATCTTTATCATGCTTTATCTATGTTTGACAGTACACTGTGGGCAAGTATACATGTTTACAATAGAATGGTATGTACAACATACAATTTTACAAATTCAAAACTGTTTGATGTAGAAGAATATACAAGGTTTTCCTACTCATGAGGAACATCGGTACTGGAAGTACTACATTATTTGCCATAATAAAAAAAATCTTCATCAAAAAGCTTAAAATAATACTGACAACGGTAACAAAGTCTCAGTCAAAATTCCACCTTGCAACTCATTCATACCCTAGCCACAAAATACGTTTATCACTTAATACTGCACCTCGAAAGCAAATCTTTACCTTTACAGTAAAACCTACAGAAAGACCCCTTTCCGGAGGAGCGCAAGACTTCCTACAGTTCACACAAGTTGATTCTGGAGGAGGGGGGAGTATCCCAAAGGGTTTAAAATGCAAGACAAAACCCCACCCTCCTCTCTGCCCCCCAGATGTAACCCTGCAAATTGCTCACGTCCAGGTTCTGTCGGTGTTAACGTGCAGCTTTTAGGGGAATAGGCAAAGCAGGGAGAGGAAGGGAGGGAGCTCGTGCGACCCTTCCCAGCCCCCTCACCCCACCCACTGCCGCAGGAGTCCTGCCACCCCCCAGCACCGCAGCTCCAGTGCTGACTTCTTCCTCTTGAGCCGTCAGAATACAGTAAAATATATAAAAGCTCATTAAAACACTTCTAGGTAATGTGGGTAGGAGTAAAAGCAACGAACATCTTTTGTAAAATGAACAGTTGACATCACTGGCTCTCTTCACCGTTGCACAGACATTTAATTTCTAAGCTGCTACGTTGCGAAATGAACAGTTGACATCATTGGCTCTCTTCACCGTTGCAGAGACATTTAATTTCTAAGCTGCTACGTTGCTTAAAAGTGTATTTACTTAAAATTGCTATGGAATTGCTCACCGCTCCTAAAAGATCACCTGGATGAGGAGCGGACGATGATCAGAGCAAGCCTCTTGTAACATCTGCTTTGGGTTTTTCAGAAGGTTAGAGCTGAGGAGAAGGCAGAGCTGGCCCACGGGAAGGACGGCTACTCCTGGTCCGCAGGGGAGTCCCAGTCTAGGTTGAACTGCATCCAGCACAACAAAATCCATTCCGGCTGCCTATCAGTGTACCAGACACATCTCGGGTTCGACTTCTGCTAGCCTTTCAACCATTAACACACTCATTCACACTTCAGTCTCTGTGCAAACCTTTCTCCGCTTATCTCAGTGAGAACACATTGAAGAGTACCAACTATTCCAGTGGATACACCAGTCCCTCAACGCGCTACAAATAAAATGACATGGGTATGTACATAAAGCTAAGCATTTCACATGGGAATGATGAGCCTTCACCATATTTCATAATATACTTTGCATTTAAAGAATTTTGCTTCTCAGAAGCAATTCAAACCATCTAATAGTACAATACTTTTTTTTTAATTTTTTTGTTTTTTCGCACAGTCCTCCTATGTATTCCAGTCGAGGCCTACACTATAGACCTTACACAGACAGGAAGCAGCTTTAAAGTGTATGGTATGGCCACAGTCCTCTAGCAACGCTCACAGTCAAGTTCTCGCGCTGTCACCCCTCCGTGACACGACATGACTTGCAGATGGTGCACTAGTCCGGTCCGCAGCGGACGAGCCTCCGTTTTGGGTACAGTTTACGTTGCTGAGGTGTGGAGCGCATGGCTGTTCCTCTTCAGTAGTCACCTGGATTTTATCTCCTTGCTCTCAAGACTCTGATGACTGAAAGAGTCTCGTATCTTAACGACTTCAGATGCACACAAGTGTCCGAAAGACTTGGTGTACCAGTCTGGCATGTGGCCCCTGAGGAGTGGAGAAAAAGTAACGATGAAGCAGGTACCAGTAACTTTGCATGCATTTGCTTGGTCAGAATCAAATACAGATCTGGCTGGTTAAATGCCCGACTAGGAAACCTCCTTATTACTCCTCATTGCTCTGAGCTGAGCCTTACTAATACACAGACTTGCTCAAAACCAAGCCTGCCACTGTGAGGAAAAGTTACGAGAAGTTTTGTGAGGACTTGGTCCTCTTTACTAACTTAATATTAAAACTAACTTGCCCTTGCATCCATATACATCTGTCAGAGGATATACCAATAGCTATGGTGGAGCACATACTGGAGGCTTCTAATGCAACAAGCCACACCTGCTGTTAGATGTGCACTGAAGCCAATTTTCCCTGACATCTCGGAGACCTGTGTGCACACCTTTGAGAAGTATGTACGACTGGCCAAGCTAAAGCCTGTTCAACCCTCTAAATTTTGCGCTGACTACACAGAAACTATACAAGAACAGTTAGCCCCACAGAAGGACAAAGCGGAAATTCGTACCTTAAATCAATTCTGCACATGTAGGTAAGTTTAGATTTTCCTGACCCGCAGGGCTCAATCAGATACCTAGACAGGAGCACATTGACTCTAACGCCTGCCACCGGAGCACGGTCATGGTCCACTGAGGTTGCCAGAAGCACACAGGCTCCTTTGGGGAAGTTTGTCCTCCATGTTCTAAGAAAAACAAGAAAAAAAAAGAAAAGTCTTATCTTTGACAAACAGTAATTCAAACATCTAACAAGACTTCAAATTATGCACAAACAGGTATTTACCTATATAACTCACATCATACAGAAATTGTAGGCAAGGTTGCCGCATGTGTAGGACATAAACGTCATCGCATATAAAAGTCTTACCTCAAGACTACAAAGTCCCTGGCTGGGTGAGGTGCCATGCTGTTCTGGACATACTGGTATATATCTGTCTGGCTATCCAAAGGTTCGATTACTTTTGAGTCGATAAGATCTTCATCCCAAAGATGCTGCTCTTTAAGTAAACGATTTAAAACATCCTCTGGCATCGCTGGGATTTCAATGGTAGTTTTCCATAACCGGAGTGGTGGACCTTCGCATACCTGGGGAAAATCAGTACAGAGTCCTCAGTTTTCCTCTTCCTTACACTTTCTTGTCCTTTCTATTTTATTTACTACATACAGCAAATTAAATACACACACATATATGTATATATATTGTACTAAGCTTGTGAGGTTGTTTAGTCTGGAGGAGAGGAGGCTGAGGGGGGACCTTATTGCTCTCTACAACTGCATGAAAGGAGAGTGTAGTGAGCTGGGTGTTGGTCTCTTCTCCCAAGTAACTAGCGATAGGACAAGGGGAAATGGCCTCAAGCTGTGTCAAGGGAGTTCAGATTGGATATTAGGAAAAATTTCTTTACTAAAAGAGTGGTCAGGCATTGGAACAGGCTGCCCAGGGAGGTGGTGCAGTCCCTGTCCCTGGAGGTGTTCAACAAATGTGTAGATGTGGCACTTCAGGACATGGTTTAGCAGGCATGGTGGTGATGGGTTGACAGTTGGACATGATGATCTTCGAGGTCTTTTCCAACCTTAATGATTCTTCAATTCTATAAACTCAGACTAAGGTTGTTTTCGTAACAGCCAAAGGCATCCGCACGCCGACTCCGAAATTATTTTAAAGTTACATTTATCTTCTCCAGTATGGGCCACTATTAAATCGCGATGCTACAGAAAAATACCCTAATTTTCCAAGTTTATTTTTTAAATATCTTAAATCTCATTGAAACACTTCTCCCTGTGCTAGCTTTGAGCTGTGCAGGATTAGAGCCAAGAAACTTCTCCCCTACTGCCTACATAGTGACAGCACTTGGAGACTTCACTCAGCCTGCCATGGCTTCGCACGTGCGAGCGAAGGCGTGTAAATGCAACACAGCGAACGTTCCCGGGCTGGATAAGCAGAAGAACACGAATCAGTGCACGTTAGGTGACTACTGCTCAAAGACATGCTTAGATGGTGTGCAGCTATGTCAGAAGATTAGGGTTGTTCTTCTTATATCTGTCTGCAAAGCACAGGTGTGCACCGAACCTTCTGTAATAGCCCATGTCAAAAGCTTACTTGTATTAGATAAGATGAGCTAAAAGCCAGAGCTGTGGCATGAGCGACAGGGTGCGTACCTTCTTGTAGGCCAGTTCTGCTTGCTCCGAGGTGGAGCAGCTGACCCAGCCTTTAAACTTCTCCTTCATCTCTTTGAGCAAGTCATCCACGCAGTCCTGAAGGTAACAGTGGTAGTCGGAGGGCTCGGCTGAGCTGCTGCCACCCCGGAGCTCCTCCAGGCTGAGGGGACGCAGATCTTGCTCCGTGTATGAGTTCCGGCCCCTGCTCATTTCTTCGGGTATCTGAGGGGCGACAAGGGTGAAATCATCCTCTTGCATCCCTCTCCCCAAATCACAGTTACGTCTAGCAGCTCGACAGAAAGACATGTACACTAGTTTTGCAAGTGGTGGGATGTATATGTGTCAGGTCAAGTGCCTGATGTGAAGAAATACCAAAATCAAGTTTGTGACTTTGATTTCACTGAAATCAGCCTCTCAGGAGTGTGCTGAAGCATGTCCAAAGAAGAGCAAAGAGGCTGGGGAAGGGTCTAGAGAACAAGTCCTGTGAGGAGCGGCTGAGGGAGCTGGGCTTGTTCAGTCTGGAGGAGGCTGAGGAGTGGCCTTATCGCTCTCTACAACTACCTGAAAGGAGGTTGCAGTAAGACGGGTGTCAGTCTCTTCTCCCAAGTTTCTAGCGATAGGACAAGGGGAAATGGCCTCAAGCTGTGTCAAGGGAGTTCAGATTGGATATTAGGAAAAACGTCTTTACAGAAAGAGTGGTCAGGCATTGGACCAGGCTGCCCAGGGAGCTGGTGGAGTCACCATCCCTGGAGGGGTTCAAAAAACGTGTAGATGTGGCACTTCAGGACTTGGTTTAGCAGGCATGGGGGTGTTGGGTTGATGGTTGGACTTAACGATCTTAGAGGTCTTTAACAACCTTAATGATTCTATGATTCTATGATTTATGGTCTGGCTTATTTTTTTCTGTGGAGTATCCTTCTTTGCTATGCAACTCAGATCCATTCCCACAGCACAGTTTATCCTGCAGACTGAAGGAAGGGAGGATCGGTTGTCAGACGCAAGAAAAGAGTCAGGCAGGTCTTCAGTTGAGGAGTCTTAAAAGATTCGATGACAGAGAGGAAAACCAGGACTCAAGACTTGTCTGGTTCTCCATCATGGGCCCTAAAGGGAGCACGCTTTAGTTCCTACAGACACTTCAACCTATGGTTTGACAGTGGCATGTTTGGGGACACTTTTGTGGCCTAGCCTTCTTAACTCTTGGGAATTTCAGTACAAAATAAGCACTGAAATTCCTGGAAATAGCTTCTTGCTTTGTAATTAGAGCTGAAGTTCACAGACACTCACGGCTGCGCAATGAGAACTTGGAAATATATTTCAAATGTAGCCTGGACGTAACAAAAACGTCCCAAACTCCACAACTGCCTCATGACTTTTGAGCACCAGTGCCAACAAAACAACTCTCTTTTCTTCTGGCACTACTTCTAATTTAGGTATGCACCCAGATCAGGATGCAAAGTTTTTTAAAAAGCTATTTAGCATGTACTAGACTTCATTAAAATAGACATTCCCAGCTTCCCATTATGCAACAGATCTAAGCCACGTTGGCCAATACTCCACCCATCCGTTTTGCAAATAGGTGTTTTACCTGAAAGAGCTTCTTGCATTCAGCAATCATATGAGCCAGCCCTTGGGTTGCAGCCAGATTCTCATTTAGGTCTTTCTGATCGGGTTTTCCCAGGCTTGGTTTTCTTTGCATCACCCTTCACAGGGGAAAAGAGCAAAAATCCAGTTATTTAATGCAGAGCAAGTGAGATGCTTGATAAGAAAACAGTAGGATTCCCCAATCTGCTGGTGATTTAGAGCAGTGCTGCCCGGGACCAAACCTTCGTACGGTGTTACTGACCTCTCTCGCTACTCTCTAAACTTTTAATTTGGAATCCCCCCCTCCCTGTTTCTTCCTTCTTATGAACTTGCTCATATTTTAACAAATCTCTAACAAAAGTATCCCATAACCGTTCTACACCTGGTGCCCTCTGAGGCATCCAAGGTGATCCCAACTGGTAGGGTCAATGCTAGACCGTGCCCATTGCACGTCGCCATGGTACGGGACCAGCAGCCACGAGCCCTGCTCCCCAGAGACGTACCTTGGGGAAGAATTCTCTCTTTTGAGCGTGTTTAAGTGGAAGAGGGAAGGAGCTAAGCAGACGGCCAGGTTTGTTGGTGTCATCTGGTTTTCCTTCACTGCAGCTGTGACATCACTCAGGAAATAGAGAAGAATCTGGAGGACCTCCCTGTTCTCATCGGGTAAAAGCATAATGGCAGCCTTGATAGCCTGGAGACGCTGATCCTTTGGCACATCTGCATAATAATAGTAATTCTCTCATCAGCCCACTGATTTTCCACACACACAGCATAAATACATCCCAAAGAAAACTCCAGCTTCAAATATTTGACTCGAGTTCGAAGTGATTTCCTTCAGGATGCATACCATTCGTAGGAAACATGAAGGGATTTTTTTTTTAACCCGCTAGTTTAACTACCCTCAGCTATTTCCTGCCTCGCAAGAAATGCAAGCAAGAAGAAGTTGTGCCTAGGCCAGAGTTAATTTTAGATTTAATTTCAACAGCTACATGCTCCCGCGGATGCACTAAAACGACAGAAGCCTGGAGTCAGGCAGTGAACCAAGCGAACACAGTCCAGCCAATTTACAAATTCTTTGTCTTTCAAAGAAATTCAAAACGTGAATGCATTTTAGAATAGGTGAATTAATTAAATAAATTGGCCAGCGAACCTTTTCAACCATGATGTCATAGAATATCCAGAAAGCGCTTTACCAAACACAGAGGGTTGGCTTTATTGAGCAGATCATTCAAAGTCATGCGGTGGAAAAAGAAAGTCAACGCTGTGAAGCCCCATACCATTAAACAGCTCCTTGGTTACTAACAACAAACAGCCACTGGAAAAATCTGACGTGTGTCTTTACACAAGGTCCTCTCCTCCAAACTTGAAGGGAACAAAAAAAATGAAATAACCCAGACCAGATCTGCTTCTTGTAACGGGATTTCCAACAAGCCACCTCTGAAGACAACATCAGAGCCTGAGTCCCGGAGCGTTCATACCGTCATTAGCACCACACCACCCTCGCTGCGGGTCTCGTAACACACGTGGTGCTAACCAGATATTTAACTGATATTCACTGAGGGCTTCAGCAACTTCATAAGGCTAACAGGTGAATTTAGAAAGCAATTTTAAGCACAAATCCAGTGTTTTCCACACTCTCCCCTCAATCAGCTCAAAGCGCATTTAAGCCACATGCGGACGACTCCAGTGTGCAGCCTGGTCCGTAACACCAAAGAAAAGGGAAATTTTTTCCTTTGCAGGGAAGCAAAATTTACAGCTGCTTTAAGGCTCTTTGCTTTACACAGAGATCATACTTCCCGACCACCTCTGGGGATTTCTCAGACCTACCATCTGCGAAAGGAAAGCAAAGGAACAAATGCTTCTGCAATGCTCTGTCAAACTGTTTCTGGCACTAAACCCACACAGAGTTCCTGTTTAACATGCACGGACGCGGAGAGTCTGATTAACTTTCTCCATAAACCTTCCTGGGAATCCAAACACACACCAAAAAAAATGCGTGCACTGAAATAACAGTATGTATGTTTTTATTTTCAACCATCACCTCCACCTACAGGGCTCTGAAGGCAGCTCCTGCAACCTTTTTGTAACCACCATCGTAAGGAAGGCACAAAATACAGCGAGGGCTCAAAGAAGGTGTTTCTGCAGCAAGTTCTGTTGTAGCTGTGCTACCACGGGAAGAACAGACGGGCAGAGAGCTGGGGTGGTGTCAGGGTGAGAAACCACAGGATCAGCAAGGTGCCCGTAGCGCAGTTTGGATCCATATGAGTATTTCAAAAAGCTCTGGAGTTCTGGTCACCAAACATTAATTCATCTTTGGCCATTTTATGAAGTGAGAGTATCCCAATGAAACAATGTGGAATAAAACTATCGAAAGGCAACGTGTTGTTTGGAAAGATCCAGCACAAAGTTACCAGCTATACAGAACTCAATTTATCTAGCTCATAAAAGAGAATGTCTCCCTTGCTGCAGTTGGACCTGTCATCTCAGAAAGATTAGTTATTTATTTTCATGTGCACTGATAAACTCCATTTTTTACGCAATTTATTCTGAGCACTTTCTGTTTACGGTACCTATCAGTAAAGTAGCTACAAGTCAGTAACAGGAAAGTTTTCAACTTAAAGGTTGTTTTCAACAGCAGTGGTAAAGGACAGAAGAATATGAATCATAAGAAAACAGAAACTTTTTGGCAGCCTTGCTCTTACAAAAAAATTCTCGGTAATTTAGTGGCTTTCAATCCCCTCGAAAGCTCTAAACTCTGTTCGTGTAGTGTTTGCACGGTTCCTCTATCTAGCCACATCACACATGGCTTACTTTCAAACCGTAGTATGGAGTCTGCTCAAAGAAGAGAGGAAACTTTATAGCAAGTGATGGAGGATTTATGTTCGTTCCCGAACTACAGAGAAAGGTGAAATGAAAAGAACTTGGACTATCAATCATTACATAACTAGAATATCAAGAACCCATTCCAGGCAGCCTGAACTACCACAGCTGCTAGGGAAAGGCAAAGGCCGACACATGCAACACGTGTGGTGCCCAGAGCAGCACTATTAGAAAGTTCCACCCTTGCGACAGAAATGACCATTTGCCATCTGCCGTAGGAATCTCACCACTTACATTGGTATATCTGTAGGAAGGTCTCAGAGAGTTTGTTGGTCATGAGAGGCTCAGGGAGATCACGGAAGAATTGCTTTAACATGTCGGCTACGTCATAAGCAGACTGGCCTTCGTAGTTGACGCTGTCTGTTGAATTCTCATTCATTTGACGCAAAGCCTGAATTCTTGATTTGACTCCAGATTTCCTAAATAGTCCAACCTAAATATATATGGAAAGATAAATATATTTACAATGAGTCCAGCATATTTGAAATGTAAGCATGCTCTTTAGCTTCTTATGTACGGGTTCTAACTTCATACAAAGCTTTCCTTGCACTAATTATCTATTTTGTCCTGTTTTGAGTCTATTATTTCAGCCTGACCCAGGAACAATAAAAATCAATGGAAGGCTGGGTTTTGGGTGCTGCATGTGCGTGGGATGAGAGCAGAGCAAAACCCACCTGATCCAGGCAGTGGTTGCGGAGGTACCGCATGGCTTGCTGAATGCTCTGTGGAAGAGGCTGCCCCGTGCGCTGGACATTGACTTGCAGCGGTACTCCAAACACGTTTCGGTCTTTATAATCCGGCACCTTTATCCTCTTCATAAATTTCGGTACTGCCCTGTTTAAGCAGAGGGCATGACAAAATTCAGCCTCTGTTGACCATTTATCTTATGTATTTCCAGTAATTCAGAGAGTCAGTGAAAATAAGTGAAACAGTAATACGAAAAGTAGTGACAGTATAAATCATCTAACCCATTCAGGGCTGGGAACGGGGAGAGGACAGAAAGCAGAGTTTCTCTAAGAGAAAGGCCTGACATTTGGAGCAGTATACTGCCCGTAAGTATTAACGTGGTGCTACTCCATCAATATTAGCAGGACAAAAGCTACAGGGTAAAACTGCAGGGGCCAGATGGAATTGCAAAAGAGTCAAAATAAATCTCGTGGTCAGTGACCCCTTCTAACACTGCTTCTTTAGGTTTCAGGGAAGATGGGCATACGAACAATGAGCTTTTGTATGTCAACTACTTGTTCTACAAAGTCCTCAAACTGGGTCCACCACCCACCAGTGTGCATAACAGCAGGAAACTGATGTAATACATTTGAGTTTGTCAGCTAAGAACTTCAGCTTTATAAACAACCCCTTTGAGGGACCCCCCTCCCCTTGTCAGCCAGTGACTGTTGTTGCCCCCACCTCCCACTCCAGTCTCAATGAGGGGCCTTTCCATCTGCTTATGACTCCAAGGAAAAAGTTACTAAGTACAAAAGAATGATTTACCCCCAGGTCCCCAAGAGTACTGGTTTCATAAAGGGAAAGAAAAAAAGCCATTAAAATGTGAAAAATATTGAGATCATTTTCCTAAATGGGGAGAAAAGCCAACGTCCAGTGCAACAACTAACAGGACACAGCAGCAGTGGAAAACAGGGAGACCTATTCAACATTTCAATATACAGTACAGCTATACAAACAGTGCATTAGATTTACAGCTGACTAATCTGTTGCATAGTAAAACAGAACCAATTTGTATTGCCATATAGTTAAGTTTAGGACATTATTGATATATGTACGAATAATACTTGCTTTGTCAAAAAACATGCCAATGGAATGTGAAAAAACACATTGCGATCTCCACCGAGAATCTGAAGCATGCAGGGATAACTGGTCAATACTTATTTCTGTCTTTCAGAACAAACAACTTCTGTATTTAGAAAGGCTGCCATAATAACAGCCTTTGAACAGGAGGTACTTTGATGCTGAAGCTAAATACTCTCTGTGACTCCTGGGGAAGGGAGGAGGCTGGCCTGTGGTAGGGAGAAGAAAAATTTTACTGCGTCTTTTGCATCCTGAAGGTTACACATGCTGCACTGCAGATACAATAAAAAAAGAGCTTTTTATTTCGTTCTTCTGACAAAAAGCATTCAACTGGGTTACAAACACCTGGCCACAGGAGAAACTGCTGCCTACAAAAAACCCCATGCTTCTCCCAACCTTTCTTCCCCCTCCGCTCTATCTTTTCTGCAAGTTAACTGGATTTATAGTGCTTTAAAGAGGGGAGATAGACTTTGGCTAACGAGATGCCAGAACTAAAGGAAATTTACATTATTTAATTACATAATTTTACAGAGAAACTAATGCAAATATTTAAGAATAACTGAAGAAAAGCAAGCCTGTTAAGACCTGCTGAGGTTTGTGCCAAAGCTCGCCAACTGCCTCAAAAAACAGCCAGTCCTTCTTTTGCCACGGGTAGTGGACATCTTCGTGCTCAGCGAGCCGGCCTGTACTTCATCGCTTTTGCTCCGTCACATGCCCCCTATACACGTACTTCTCAAGCCTAATGAGATTACACTTACGTAAAGGGTTAGTGATTTTAGCCCCGTCTTAGGAAACCACAAATCACCGTCAGCACAGGCTGGAGGAAGAAGTGCAAATAAGGAAAAAGAGGGATGGAGGGATTCATTGCGTCTTGCCAAAAGTCGCTCGTAGGGCCTACGCGTGGCACTGTGCCCTTACCAGCTGAAACCGTGCTTGTTGGAAGGCGTGTACTTCTCCAGGAGAGCAGTCAGCTTCAGGAGGGAGTACTTCTGCAGCAGGTTCATCTGCGCCACGGACTGGCAGTTGATCTGCAGCGATGCCGAGCTGAGGCTGGGCCGGTGGGAGCTCTGGAAGCTGTGCCACCGCAGCCTGTGCCTGTGGAGCAGAAAGGGGACAGAGCAAGGAC